TATATATACACACATATTTGCTATATGTCTTTGAAAGAAAAAAACTATAGGTCGAGGAAAACACGATCATCACATCTAAACACTAATCTGCCTCAGCTTTAGCCTAAACCTAGCAGCAGCAGCAGCAGCAGCAGCAGCAGCTTGGCCTCACCCTGATGATCACCTGACGGCTGAGTGCCTTCAAAAATATCTAAAGGACTAATATTCAGGCTTCTTGAAAAACCAAATATTGACTGTGATTTGGCGTAAAGCTGAACACGTCTGACCTGCGACGGTGTTTTTTTTTTTTCTTCTTTTCAAATTGCTTGGCTCTTTTTTTGAAAACTGAATCTGTCTCTTTGATGCCACTCTTTTTTTTGTTCACTTACGTACTTTGAAAACTTTAAGACTTAAAAAGCAGAGATAGGGAGCAGCGACACAGGCAGTCAGAGCGGACAGCTGTGTTGGAGCTCCGGACCAAACACTTCAACACCACCACAGACTGGAACTGTAACCTAAACTGTCGACTTCAGCGGCAGCAAAAGCAAATACTTCTAAGACAGCCTTGGGGTCGTGACCCCACGCGTCATGTAAATAATGTAAAAAAAAAAAAAGCTAGTTATGTAGTATTACTTTTTAAAATGATGATTAAAAACAACACCACACAAACGTAAACAACTGTGTTCTTCCACAGAACAAACATTTCTCTGCGATCACCAAGAATTTGTGATGTCAAAAAGGGGTCAAAGAAAAGGTTAAACAAAAGGGAACCACTGGTCTAAGAGAATGAATCTCCAGGTAACTGAAGGACACTGGTTAATCACAGTCCGGTCGGTCGAGGTGGTAACTTACGGAGGAGAGTCAGACTGGCGTTAGCCGTCCCCAGCTTGTTGGTGGCGATGCAGGTGTAGTTTCCGTAGCGATCCTCCGTCGTGTTGGTCACTGTAAGGATGGATCTGGAGGTGAGGCTCTTGATGTCGATGCCTTGACCTTTTATAATCCTAGAAACCAGAACATAATCAACGCAAATGTGAGACAAAAGGGAAGAAAACCACGGAGGTCGGCTGTTGGACCTTCATTTCACACAGCGCTTTATTTCCCTCTTCAGCAGATCTATTAATTCCACTGTCTGTTGTTGAAGAGTCAATAAGAAGGACTGAAAGCAGAGACAAACGACGGAGCGGTGAAGCAGCTGGGCGCCGCTGGCCGCTGATGTCGTTGTTGATTGTTTGGCTGCAGGTGCGAGGGGCCTAATCCGGTTGTGCCTGGCGTCTGTGCTGTGAAACTGACAAATGTTCGCCCGTGTAGTCTGCTGATCACCACCATCTCCAACAGCCTGCAGAGGCTAGAACTCACTCTGTTACGGCAGCGGCTGATGGAGGGGGCGCGCGTGGATGTTACAGCGACGTTTGTTTTCATCAGCGCGTCCTGGTAATGTCAGCGTTTCTAATTACAGGCCAAATAAAACCCTGCGCAGGAGACGGGTTTGTCTGTCGTCTTGACTGTGACGTCTGGTGGTTTTTAGCTTAGTGACTGTGAAGTGCACAGAGGCTCATGTGTTTAAGGAAAACGTGTGTGTGTGTGTGTGTGTGTGTGTACAGTGAAGTTGTACAGCAGGGGCTCAGCGGTGATTTGAGGAGGTGCACACAGAGAATATGTGTCAAAGTAAAGGTTAAAACCGCAAATTAAATTATTTAGTTACACATTCGACTGATTTCACTAATGTGTAGCATCGACATTTTAGTCCAGAGTACTGATGAAAATGAATTAATAAAAACAAATTACACAAGTGAAATTGACTTGACCTTTAACTTAATTCCTTTCATAACATGTGTAACAATAACAACAACAACAACAACAACATATTTGAACATCTTCATTAAGACCTTTGACAAAACCTTCAATGAAATGTCGGTTCAGGTTTGGTTTCAGAGTCGGGCTCTGAACCTGGACCAGTGTCAGGAACATCACTGTCCGGGTGTTTTACTCAGGTTAAGGCTGTGTTTGAACATGTACTATCTAATACTTTTAAAACTGGAACTAAAAAAAAAGAAATTCAGAAGAACAAAGATGGCAGCAGTGATTTTGAGGTTGTGTCAAATCAACAGCCATTGTCAGTGTTGTGTCTGTGTCTGTGTCTGTCCTCCTGTAATGAGGAGTAAATGAAGAAATCACCATCTAGAAGCCAGACCTGGCAGACAGAAAAAGTCCTTGAATTAAGAAAAGAAGAACCACGGCAACCACGGCAACCTGCCTCCTTAGCAATTTGAATAAATTGAATTCAACCCATAATTACAATTAACTCAGCATGAGCCAATGAGTGAAGCCGAGCTCACCAAGAGTGAGCCGCTGATGGCTAATGGGGCTAATTGGGTTTTTCAAATTCAAGACCTGACACTTGAATACAGGCTGATTTTTAAATGAGAGTGATTTAAGTCAGGTGGACTTCAACCTCACTGTGAAGGTGTTCTCCTCTTACTGAAACACCCACCACCACAGTCTGGACTCACCTTTTCTCACCCTTGAACCACTCAAACGTTGGCACAGGCATGGCGAACACCTCGCACCTCAGCAGAGCGGTGCGTCCCAAACCAACTTCATTATTTTTGACATCGTGGATGGTCGGAGCAACTACAGGAAACAAAGAGGAGAAAAGTTAC